TCCTCCTCTCCTCCGTCCTCCTCCTCCTCCTCCTCCTCTTCCTCCGCCCCTCTCCTCCTCCTCCCCTTCCCTCCCCCACTTCCCCCTCCTCTTCCTCCTCCTCCTCCTCCTCATCTTCTCGCCTCCGCCTCCTCCTCCTCCTCCTCCTCCTCCTCCTCCTCCTCCCTTCTCCTCATCCTCCTCCGGCTCGCCCAGGACCGGGGTGCACAGACCTCCTTTTTGGGGGCCTCCCGAGTGAACACACGTTCACACTTGTTCGCGACAAGGGATCTGGGGTCTGGGATCAGACATCAAGCGTTGGACTTCTATTCTGTGGTGCGTCTGGACCAGAATCTTGGGACGGATCCGCCCGCGGCGACGAGGGGCCGCCCGGAGGCCCAGAGAGCCAAAACGGCTGCAAATCTCTGGGCTTCCCAGATGGGGTCGCAGCTGACGGGGTCTGAGGATCGCGCGGCATCGCCCATGCATTGGCGATGCGGCTCGATGTGGAGTCTGTTTTTCTCCACGCCGATGGCAACGATGCCTCGCCGACGTCGCCGATGCATCGTCGATGTGGCGCGATTCTCCCATCCCGTCTAGTCGTACCCGGTCTAGGAGGCCTCTATTTCTCCTGGACGTTGGATGCCAGAACGTTCTGGTCGCGACCGACGAGATTAGTGGCTATCGATTGTGCTTCCAGTTCTGGTATCGGTCGCGACCGTGTTGTTTCAACAGTTTACTGTTTGCGACCCATCAGCTTCTAACCGTCGCGACCGCTCCTGGAATCGGTCCCGATCGGTCGTGATCGATTTTTGAAGTGCCGATCGGTCTCTGCCGATCGCGGGCGAAACAGTCCTGTGCCCCATGATCTCGCTCTGCGGGCTTGGGTGGACAAAAGCACGACGGGAGGTTTCGTGTGCCGAGTTGCTGCCTTCGGGGACCCTCGCCGGGCCCCAGGACCGCCAAAGAACAACTCAGAATGGGGAGCCGTTCAGGGGAAAGGGTCCAGACCTCAGGTGGAGCTACGCTGTGAAAAAGCACGGGCTTCGATGGAACATCGAAGTTTAAATCATGGACAGAGGGGCCTTGTTCCTGATCTAGTGTTCCTTAGGTCGAAGCCCCGACCGTGCATCCTCCAGAACCACCCGACCCCAGAGATATCCTAGAGGTTTTCCGATCCGATGACGTCCCGTGGCCAGCTTCGTTTGTTTCGAAAATCTCTCGGCTGTTTCGAGCGTTCTCGTAGTCTTGAGTCGGGCCCGTCCCTCCACAGGAGGAACATCCCAAAAGAATCAAACAATAGTCTGGGGACCATTTTTGGAGTATCTGTTGTACCATTTGGGGGCTTTTTGTTGGAGTATTGTTTAACATTTTTCTTCCAGAATCCCTCTGTAGGGGAAACGCCCGACCCACTAATCGCAGTCTCTTGGGACAATCCTCGTCTCGAGGCGCCCGGCTGCAGCCGCGCCCGCGCCCAGCCCCGGGCGAGGCCTCGGCATGCCCAGCGCGCCCGCAAGGCGCGGGCGGGCCTCGGCAGGCGAGGCCTCGGCACGCCCGCCCAGCGCACGAGGCGCCCACGGGCCTCGGCGTCGCTCAGACGCGTGCACCTTTCTTTCGGCGAGGACCCTCGAGGAGCACCCTCGAGGAGCATCGAGGAGCATCTTTCCCTCGGCGAGGACCCTCGAGGCGCATCCCGGATGATCACTCGGCGGAAAAAACAGCCGCGCCCGAAACCGAGCAGAACAGGGAGCGGGGCGGGCACCGGGCGGAGCCTCGGCACAGCCATCCACGAGGCGCCCACGGGCGCCCACCGACAGGGCACCGGCCGAAGGCCTCGGCGCTCCCAGCCAGGCACAGCGGGGGAGGGCGCCCAAGCAAGCCTTCTGAGGAGAGCCCGGTTCTTATATTGCCGCCATACTTCCCAGGAGGACCTGATCAGAGTGGGGGGGGCTGAACCGAACGGTCATTCACTGTCCCTGGGTGCGTGGCTGAAGTGGAATTCCGCGATGCGGATTCTTGTTGTTTGTTGTTTGTTGTTGTCGTCGTCCCACCCGCGACCCGCCCCGCAACCCACCGCGACCCACCCCGCGACCCACCCGCGAACCACCCCGCGACCCACCCGCGACCCACCCCGCGACCCACCCCGCGACCCACCGCGACCCACCGCGACCCACCCGCGACCCACCCCGCGAACCACCCACAATTTTCGGCGCCTGCAGCGGGCTTCTTTTGCATTCGTTCCAGGTGGAGAACCTGCGACCCACCCGCGACCCAAACCGCGTTCAGTATACAAATCACAATGTTCGGCGCCTGCGGCGGGCTGTTTTTGAATTCCTTCCAGGTGGAGGTGGAGAGCCCGCGACCCACCCGCGACCCAAACTACGTTCACTGAACAAGCCAAAAATTCGGCGCCTGTGGCGGGCTGTTTTTGCATTCGTTCCGGGTGGCCCACCAGCAATCCCCCCCGCGCTGAACTTGTCAGAGCACGCAAATCGGCGCTTGCGGCGGGCTTGCTCGCATTGGTTTGTGAAAGCGCCTTCGCCATTCCCCCGATCCGGCCCACGTTGACTCTACAACAGCACATCGGCGCCTGCGGCGGGGCTGTTGTAGGACGATGAGGACGCGGACGAGGAAGAGGAGGAGGAGGAGGAGGAGCAGGAGAAGCAGGAGGAGGAGGAGGGCGCCATCGACAGGGAAGGTGAGGCCACGAGGTCCGCCGGCTCGACGCCCGCGTCGCCCGCGCCCGCCTCCTCACTCTTATCCGCAATTGCGGGGTGCTACGGTTAATTACCAGCGGAGCCTTGGCAAGATCTGGCAGCCCCAGGTGGACGCGGTGATCCTGCACGGCGGGCTCGGGGTCACCAGCGAGGCCTTCCTGGCGGGCGT